TAGTGTAAGGACCTGCCAAACACGGACTGAGACACACAACTGATTTCTGTGTTTTGCCAATGGAATGTATGCCTTGCTGAGTTTCCCGCTTGTTGCTGACTTTTCTAAGTCTGTGTGTGTACGCTTGCTGGTCTGCGTGCCTGTCTGAGTGCTTGTCGGTTTGAGTGCGTGTGTGACACGGTTGGGTTCTCATTCGTGCGGGAGGCCCGAATGGCCGGTACTTACCTGAGGCCCGTGACACTTCGAGCAGCGGAAAAACACTCAATTAACAGGTAAGCCGTACCACACCAAGTAGTGGTAGTTGCGTCGGGTACTCTAGGCCGAGCAGAAGAAGACAAAAGTTGGCAGTTTTAGAGACCCAGTAGTTGAAAGCTAGGCCTAGGCGGGTACCAGACCAAGTAGTCTGAGTGTAGGGCTTGTACGGGCAATATCAGAGTCTGCAATGCTGTTTCTCTCCGAAAGGGAGGAGGTACCTGTTGCTTGGAGGCCACCCGGCCTGGAAATCACGGCCCAAGAGGCAAGCAGGCCGCTATATCTCCTGGAGGAGCAAAGAGCTCCTCTTCATTCTACGGTGTGCAAGTTTGGCGACACACTGTTGGAGCGCTGGTTGGAGCAGCGCTGGAGTCAGCAGCGCTGCTGGGGAAGAAGGTCGCCCAGCTCCCCACGTTGGCTATGGTGGAGGAGCTTGGGTAGGAGGAGGAGGAGGAGCGCCAAGGGTACCTACCTGGCTATGGTGGATGCCATCTTCATCACCTTGGCGGGTGCTGCATCTGCAAGGCCCCCATTGGGGTAGAGCTACATCAAGTAGCTTCGAGGCGGAGTCAGGCATGGTGGCCTGAGCCAGAGCAGCCATAGCTGCTTTGAGTTGTCTTTTGCACAGTAGGGCAAGGCCTTAGAAGTCCGCCATAGCCACAGCCTTCGGAAGAGGAAGGAGAAGGGTGGCCATGTCTATGGTGGACCTCATGTTGTACCTGCAGTAGAAGAAGGATTTGGGTGCTGCATCTGCACCCAAATCT